CCGATTTTTATCTCCCCCCAGAGAGACCATTCTCATTAGGGTTTTCTTTTTATCATAGGCATCCTTTGTATCAATTACGTACATATGTATGAGAGATAATGTTCAAGTATTTACTTATTTTTTATTTATTTTTAATTTTATCAAAGCATACTTCAAGGAGGTATAGAAAATTTTCTGATTATCCTATTAAACCAAGGGGGAATCTAGTCTATTATTTATCTCAATCTATTTACAATATATGTAATTCTTGTGTTTTCTCACTTGAATAACAAAATCCCTATGGTGAAAAAGTTATATTCATAATAAAACATGCATACTTTTAGGGATTATAAGTTCAGTGTTGAACTTAGTTTATATGCAAGAGGGGAAGATGGCGCCATTGTTGGTGCCTGAAGCGCCACAATTTGTCACTCCAAGTTCGTTTTTTTTTACATGAAGCCCCTATAAGACCAGCATAAGACCCTTAGTATTTAGCTTTTGTGTTAACACCATAAATCCCTGCATACTTTTGAGCGTTTTCGTTAAAATCGTATTTTGTTTTATTTTGATATGCTTCTGATGATGACGATGTTGATGATGATCTATTATAATATTTGTCAAAGTTTCTTTCTTTGTTTTTGTTTGCCTTCTTTAACAATCTATCAGATTGGAGGGGGGGGGGGGGGATGGTTAGGAAATTCCGGGGGAGTATGCTTTCCATGCGGAATATAAAAAGAAAATCATAAACAACAAGATGATTACCAAGTTTTGTAAAACTTTAAGTCTTTTCGGGAATTTTTTTTTCCAAGGAGGGAATATTTCCCCTAGATGTTGTTGTTGTTGCTGCCACCAGCATTATCATCTAAATAAACAATGTCCTTTATTTTATGTGTGTGTGTGGGTGTATGTGTGTTTGGAAGTTTGTTGTTGCGAAAAATTCTAAAATTTGCCATAAACTTAATGATTAAAGACTCTCCAAAGAATTTCTTGGCTCTTCGTAGAATAGTTCTACAGTTGTTCTACTCGATGCTCTTCCATAATGATGGTCCATGACATGGAGAACAAACTTTTCTTCTTCTTGTATTCTGCTGGACATGGACATAACAATAGCAATAAAATTACAAGACTACGGAAAAGACAAAAAAAAAAAAAAAAACGAGACAACAACTCCGACTACAGTTACAACGCAACTTGGACATGAACTTAAACTCAGGACAAATGCAACTTCCAAAGGGGAAAGGGAATGAAAATTGTCCACTGTCGAAATCCGCCAAACAAAATGCAAACATCCAGTGGGGAGTTTGGAAAAAAAAACTTGGCCCTTTTTGTCGTAGAACCCCCGAAAATAACTTTTGGCGTATAACAACTGGACAAAGTTGCTTTTTTATGGTCATTACCTGTAAGATGCAGCCAAAAACAACAACAACAAAGACTACTCTCCAAAAATCTCTGGGATAAAGTTTATTTAAGGCAGATGATCTCATCAGCTTAGCAAGTTGTTGCCATAAACAAAATCCATGGTTATTTTCGGGGGATTACGACAATTGAGCTTTGGAATTTTAAAGTGGGAATTTTTAAGGACGTGGGGTGGTTTATTGGCCACCAAAACTGAAAACTTTTGCTCTGAACTGAGTACTGTTCTTTTTTAAAAAAATCATTTCCCTTAGTTGCTCTTATTTACGGAAAAATTCATAAAATTTCATGGGCTTTAAAGGCGACGACCAAATTTGGCTATGTAGAACTCAGGTCGAATTTTTTTCTATAGAAACAATATGCCTCAGAACTGAGTTCAGATTTTCTCTGTAGAAAAAAAATTCTCAGAACTGATGTAGGATTCATACAATTTCATAGGCTTTAAAGGCAGACGACTGAATTTGGCTATGGAGAACTGATGTCGCTTTTTTTTCTATGGAAAAAATATGCCTCAGAACTGAGTTTGGATTTTTTTGTAGCAAAAATATGCCTCTGAACTGAGTACTGATTTTTTTTAAGAAAAATTTCCTACAGTTAACAAAAGCTCATTTTTGGGGAAAATTCTTTCAATTGGAGACACTTTTTTAAGGCCATCCTACCGCTATGGAAAAATATTACTTATGCCTGGAAACCGAATTTTCAGATTTGGACACCAACTAGTTCTATAACAAAATCTCTCGGACTTGAGACCAAATTTTTCTTTACCCAAAAAAAAAAAAAAAAATAATAATAAAAATTAACAAAAACTTTAAAAATCTTAATATCTGAGGACCGATTCATTATTGAAAAATAGCTTAAAAAAAGGTTCAAGTTTTAACTACAGTAGAAAAAACAAGTAAGTTCGGTCGGTCCTCCATCATTTGGAACGAATTTGAAGGATTAAAAAAAAAATAAAATCCGTTAATAATTCTGTTAAAATCATCAAAATACCGCAGAACTGAGGTTAGATTTTTTTTGTAGCAAAAATACGCCTCTGAAAACTTGACAAGAGCTAATTTTTAGAGAACATTCTTACAATTGGAGACACTTTTTTTAAGGCCTGACTACCGCTATAGAAGAATATTACTTATGCCTAGAAATCGACTTTTCAGATTTGGAGTTCAACTAGTTCTATAGAAAAAAATTTCCCAGACATGAGGAGTATTTTTTTACCCCAAAAAATAATGTTAAAAAATATTAATATCTGAGAATCGTTTTTTTTTTTATTGAAAAATGGGCTTTAAGATCAGGTTCAATTTTTATTATAATAGAAAAACAAGTAAATTTGGGCGGCCCTCCACCATTTGGAATGAATTTGGAAGATTTAAAAGAATAAAATCCGTTAAAAATTCTGTTAAAATTATCAAAATACCGCATATAAGGAGGTACCGATGTATGGAGACTATGCGAAGACCTTGACCTGCATAAACACTTTTCTGACATAGGCTGCAGTACCTAATTGGAACTTCAAATACGCAATTTGAAACAATTCAGGTGAATGTTGTATCTAAAATCGTCAAAATACCGAATATTGTGGGGTATCGATATATGGGGCCTATACAAAGACCTGGACCTCCATTTACAATTTTCTGTCATAAGCTGTAGTACCTATTTGGAACTTCAAGTACGAAATTTGAAACAATTCCGGTGAATAATGCCGCTAAAATCGTCAAAATACCGAATATGGGGAGTTCGCGTTATATGGGGGTTATACGAAGACGTGGACCTGCATATACAATTTTCTGTCATAGGCTGTACTACCCATTACAAACTCTAAATACGAAATTTCAAACAATTTCGGAGAATATTGTACCTAAAATGGCCAAAATACCGAATATAAAGAGGTACCGATGTATGGGGCCTATATGAAGACGTGGACCTGCATAGACAATTTTCTGTCATAGACTGTAATACCTATTCGGAACTTTAAATACAAAGTTTGAAACAATTCCGGTGAATAGTGTACCTAAAATCATCAAAATACCGAATATAGGGAGGTACCGATAAATGGAACTTATTCGAACACGTAGGTCTGCATACTCAATTTTTTGTCATAGGCTGTACTACCCATTAGGAAGTCTAAATACGAAATTTGAAACAATTCCGGTAAATAATGTCTCTAAAATCTTCAAAATACCGAATATCGAAGGGTGCCGATGTATGGGCTTATATGAAGACCTGGACATGAATAAACAATTTTCTGTCACAGACTGCAGTACCCATTATGAACTCTAAATACGAAATTTGAAACAACTCCGGTGAATACTGTCTTTAAAATCATCAAAATACCGAATATCGGAGGATACACTTGTATGGGGGCTATACGATATCGTGGACCTATACAGACAGTACTCTCACAGGGGGTCAAGTGCTTAGAAAGAACTTCTTGTGTGGATTTTCAGCCAATTTCATTGAAAAATTTGGCTACAATAATCAAAATACTGAATATCGGAGGTTATGGGGCCTATACGATATCGTGGACCTATATAGACATTTCTCTTCCAGGGGTTAAAGTACTCAGAAGGAACTTTTTGTGTGGATTTTCCGACAATTTCATTGAAAAATTTGACTACAACCATCAAAATGCCGAAGATCGGGGGTTCCGTTATATGGGGGCTATATGATATCGTGGACCGATATAGGCCATCTTCGAACTTGACCTGCCTGCAGACAAAAGACTGATCTGTGCAAAATTTTAGCTTCCGCTCTTAAATCGTTTCGACTCTAGCATGATTGCAACAGACAGACCGACCGACGAACAGACAGACAGGTCTAAATCGTCTTAGAATTTTTCGCTGATCAAGAATACATATAATTTTATAGGTCTAAAATTATTCCGATGAGTTACAAACAAAATGACGAACTTAATATACCCACCATACTCTGTGTGGTGGGGGTATAAAAAATACTTATAGTTGAGGACCGATTTTTGCAGCAGAAAACAATTTCATAGAACTGGCGAGGTGTTTCTTTTCACAGGAATATATAAATTCGGATGTTTGACATTGCGACTTATTCTATCAAAAATGGAAATGGAATTTTTATTCTGAAAAAATAAGTTATTATATTTTAAAACTAATTTTTTTTCTCATTCTTAAATTAAATTTTACCTCAACTTTTAAATATTTTTTGAAAAAAATTTCCGATCTTCTTGTAACGTTTTCCTATAAAAAATCAATGTTTTCTTTTGTGAGGACTTTTTGCCGTAAAAAAATATTTTTCCTTAATCCTTTTATTCTACATTTCATAATCTGCCGTTGCTGTTTAAAAATTATCAGAGCGTCTGTGTGTCAAGGTTTCCATTTAATATTTTAAAAGCCATTTTCATTTACTCTCTCTCGCGTTCTTATATTATCTTCTCGTTTTTTTTTTGTTGTTGTAAATATTTAAATGCGTTTTTCCTTTGATATTCCCTGTGGGAAGTACTGCCGCTAAAAGCATCGAACATTATCCTTTAACCATTTCGTTTTGGCCTTCTTGGTCTTTGTGAAGTTCACAAAGAGAAAAAAACTGAACTGAACTGAAATTGATATGGACACCAAAAAAAGGGGTTTCATTAACACACTTACCGTCTTTCAGCGAATATCGTGGATTAGTCATGTCGACTCTTGTCTGATTCTTAATCCAATATATTAGAGGTGTTGGATTACCGGTTGCCTTGCACTGCATCGTGGCCGTGTGGCCCACTTCAATGACGCGCAAACTGGGATGCTGGATGATGACGGGGAAGCCTGGTGGTGGTTTGTCAACTGGAAGAGAGAAGAGAAGATCAAAAGGTTAGGGTAAGAAATAATCGTATCATTTTTTTTTTACGAATATAAAATTAAAAAATATAAAAAAATAGTTTTAATTATTAAGAGTGAAAATGCTGTCTTCAAACGGAGCTCCGAAAATACTATATTTTGGCAATAAGAGTTTTTAATATCGGTATATATATTTTGAAAATTTTAAAGGTTTTCTTTAGAAAAGTAGCCCCTAATTGGTCCACCACATTTTTTCTCATTTCATTATTAACAATTAGGTCAAATTTGAAAATATATATGTATCGAATACACCCCCCACACAATATACCACGTTTGAGGGTGAATTGTGGATTGAAATCCTTTCTCATATTTCCACAAGTCAATTCATTGATTCGCATTTGTCTCTTCGAGCTATAAATATTTATTTTTCATAATTTGTATTTTTTCCATAATCAAAAAAAAAAAAAAAAAATTAATTCCAAATACCAACCTTCATCTCCCCCTTCAATGTGGAAGACTTCACCATGTAACCACTAATAGCATTTCTCCATAACTTCTATAGTCCGTCAACCAGAGACCAAAGCCCAGGCTTATAGCGGGAAACAAACCGCTGTTGATTCAACAGCAATTCAGGAAATCCAAACAAAAAACGATTCCTTTTTTCTTTCAATGATTGTTATTGTTACTGTGTATGTATGTGCTCAGTCTGTGTGTGGGTATTGGTTGGCATTATTTTAATTTCACACCAGACACGTTTTATTATAAATATTGTCCTCGCCCACCAATACCCACATAGACACAGACGGGCACACAACAGGACCAAACGAAATAAGTTCATAATGCATATGCATAAAAACCGCATACATAAAAGGCTTAATACAGCAAGTGGGCTCCTCACACACATATACACACACATTTGAAGGGGTATAAAAAACGTCCCACCAAGACTACTAAAAAGGAATCTTCAAAAACTCACAGTAACTGCTCTCTTGATTTTAATCCACATTAAGACACTGTTGGTTCTTCAAAAATCGTTTAAAAATCCCCGTCGACAGTCATAAAAAAACTTCTAAAAAAAAACAAACATCGACAATTCTGTAAGTCCCTGAACAAATTAAAAAAAAAAAAAAAAAACGTCAACAGCCTCTAAAACAATTTTTAAAAAAAATCACGTCGACAGTTCTGTTAGTCCCTGAAAAAAATTAAAAAATCCACGTCAAAAGACTCTAAAAAAATTTAAAAAAATTCACGTCGACGGTTCTTTTAGTCGCCGAAAAAAATTTAAAAATTCACGTCAACTGCCCCTAAAAAATCATACAAAAAAATCCGCGTCAACAGTCTCTAAAAAAATTAAAAAAAACCACGTCAACAGCCCTTAAAAAATCCTATAAAAATCCACGTCAATAGCCCCTAAAAAATCCTAAAAAAATCAACGTCAACAGCCTCTAAAAAAAATTAAAAAAATTCACGTCGACAGTTCTGTATGTCCCCGAAAATATTCGCTAAAAAAAATCACGTCAACAGTCTCTAAAAACCACGTCAACAGCCCTTAAAAATCCTATAAAAATCCACGTCAATAGCCCCTAAAAAATCCTAAAAAAATCAACGTCAACAGCCTCTAAAAAAAATTAAAAAAATTCACGTCGACAGTTCTGTATGTCCCCGAAAATATTCGCTAAAAAAAATCACGTCAACAGTCTCTAAAAATCCTAAAAAAATTCACGTCAACAGCCTCCAAAAAAATTGTACAAAAATACAGATCGACAGTTTTTTTAGTCCCTGATAAATTCACGTCGGCAACTCTTATAGTTCTTGAAAAAAATCCAATCCTATTAGACATTGAAAAAATCTATAAAATATTTACGACGACCGCTCTGTTATTCTCTGGAAAAATCCTATGAAAAATGCTCGTAGACAGTTCTGTTCGTCCTTGAAGAAAATGTTTAAAAAATCTGGTCCTACAAAAATATTTAAGAAATCAGCAATGGTAGTTCTTTTACTTTCTGTTGGTCCTTCAAATAAATCCATAAAAATTCCACGTTGATAGCCCAATTGTTCCTGAAAAAATCCTTCCTGAAAAAACCCTTTAAAAACCAGCTCTGTTAGTACCTGAAAAAATCCTTAAAACCCAGGTCGACAGCTTTGTTGGCCCTTGAAAAGATCCTTTAAAAAAAAAAAAAAAAAACACTGCGAGAGCTCTGCTACTCAATGAGAAAAAACTCCTCAAAAATTCTGTCTAAAGCTTGGTTACTCCCTGACGATATGTTTAAAAAAAAAACTACATTGACCAACAGGGGCCCAGGGACCCTTAACAATTCCAAGTTGATAGGCCTCTTTATTCCTGATTTTTTTTTTGTAAATTAAGTTAAAGTATGTGTATTTCTTAAAAAATCTACTTTAATTGATTTGTTAACACGTGAAAAAATCAAGCTAGTGGCGCTATTGGTCCATGGACTTTTTTTAGAAAAAATCCATGTTTACAGCTCTGTAGGTCCTTGCGAAAATTATATATAAACTCCAGTTCTGCAGATCTTTGAACAAATAAAATAAAAAAATTCCAATCAAAAGCCTTGTTGATGTTAAAACAATCCAGAAAATTTTTTGATCATATGGTCCCTGAAAAAGAGTCAAATCAACGTTCGATCTCCAAATTTTACTTGAACAACTATTCTATTAAAGTCAAAGATTGATGTCCTAATCTCCTTGAAAAAAGGTTAAAATAACTAATTTTTGAAGATGCAAAGGTCCTTAAAATATTCTTAAGAAATTCAGTTTTAGTGGTCTTAAGGTCCTTGGAAAAAGTATTCTTTAAAAATCCACGTTTGTCGGACTAAAGGTCCTTGGAAAAAGTATTCTTTAACAAATCCACGTTTAATGGTCAAAAGGTCCTTGGAAAAATATTCTTTAAAAAATCCACGATTTGTCTTGAAAAAAACACGTCTATAGCTTGGTTAGTCATTGAAAAAAAAAAATCTATAAAAAACTCAGGCTTTTGGCTTGGATGGTCCTAGAAAAAATCATTTAAAAAATCAGGCTTCTGGATTGAAAAGTCTTTGTAAATTATTTTAAAAAAAATCCAAGTTTGATCCTTGAAAATTATTTTTAATTCCCTTTGAAGTCCTCGTTGGTTCCTTGAAAATTTTTCTTTAAAGTTATTTTTTGGTCCTTTAAAAATAGTTCGTAAAAAATCGATGATTGGTACTTGCAATTTTTTTTAAATCTACGTGTGGCCTTTGAACTCTTTCTTTTAACCTACTGTTTATCTTTAGAAATCCACATTTGGTCCTTGAAAAAATATTCGCAAAAATCCACATGTGATCCTTGAAAAAATATTCTTTAAAAATCCACATTTGGTCCTTGAAAAAATATTCTTTAAAAATCCATGTTTGATCCTTTTAAAATATTCTAAAAAATCTACGTTCGGTCCTTAAAAATATTTTTTTTTTTTTATTTGTTGTTGGTCCTTGGTAGTTTTTTTCAATCCACGATTGAAAAATATTTTTGGTTTTTTTTTTATAATTAGAATTTTGTCCTTGATTTTTTTTAATCCACGTTTGATCTAAGATTGATCCTTGACAAATATGTTTTAAAAAAATTAATTTTTTTTAAAAAAAAATATTAAAAAATTCACGTTTGACTCTTGAAAATTTTTCTTAAAAAATCCACGTTCAAAAAGCTCCACGTTTGGTCCTCGAAAAAATTATTTAAAAAAAATTGTGTTTGATCCATGGCATTTTTTTTCAATCCACGATTGATAAATATTTTTGTTTTTTTTTTATAATTAGCATTTTGTCCTTGATTTTTTTAATCCACGTTTGATCTAAGATTGATCATTGACAAATATGTTTTAAAAAAATTAAATTTTTTAAAAAATTAACGTTTGACTCTTGAAAATTTTTCTTAAAAAACCAAGTTTGATTTCAAAAAAATTCCACTTTGGTCCTCGAAAAAACCATTTTCATAAAATTCTTGTCTAGTAAATGCATTATTTCTAAAATGACATGTAATGCCTGAAATATATATTTAAAAAAGTCCACATTTGTTCCTTGAAAATTATTTTTTGAAAGGTCCTCGTTTGTTGGTCAGCTTATCATTGAAATCGATTCATTGAGTATCCAGGTTGAGTCCTTGAATTATTTTCTTTTTTCAAAATATGATGATGATTTTTAAAAATGTCCTTAAAAAGTGATTTTTGAATACCCTCGTTTGGTCCTCGTTTGTTGGTCAGCTTATCCTTGAAATCGATTCAGTGAGTATCCAGGTTGAGTCCTTGATTTATTTTATTTTATTTTTTTTTTTTTCAAAATATGATGATAATTTTAAAAATGTCCTTAAAAAGTCCTTTTTGAATATCCTCGTTTGGTCTTCGTTTGTTGGTCAGCTAAAGTTTAAATTCGATTTATTGAATATCCAGGTTGAGTCCTTGATTTATTTATTTTTTTTTTACAAAATATGATGTTAATTTTTAAAAATGTCGTTAAAAAGTGATTTTTGAATACCCCTTTAAAAGAGTCCTTTAACAGGCCATTGTTATTCTGTATATGGCTCTTGTTTTCGATTTCATGCAGTTGTTTTGTTCAGTTATTCTTTTCTCTTTTTCTGTTTTGCATTTCGTTTAAATGCATAAATACATGTATGAATGCATATGTTCGAAGTTCGTTACTAACTTGTTGGGGGAGAATCAAAGGTTTTTGTTTTGGAAATTCTTTGTTTGGGGTATAACGACACCCCACCCACTCTTTTCCAATAGCAAGAATCTGGCGGAAAATACCATCAAAATATTTTAACACTTGGCAATGGCATGTGAGTCAATTTTTAGTTCATATAAATACATGTTGGTGTGTGTGAGCATTTCCGCCAAAAAGCTGACACTACAGCCAAAACAGACAATCGAGTGTCAGAAATGCCAATGCCATTTTTCAATTTTTGCCATTGTATTCGGCGCTCGTTATAATGGTAAATGTGTAGACAAGTGTATTGGGTAAATACGACGATGACGATAATGA